TTTTTTATGGTCCCTAAACCCATTGTAACAACAACAACAACATTTTATTATGGTCCATTAACCCATCAGTATCAACAACAACAACATTTTATGATGGTCCATAGACCCATCAGTAACAACAACAACAACAACAATAGCAACATTTTATTATGGTCCATAGACCCATCAGTAGCAACAACAAGAACAACAAGTTATCTCACAATCCCCTGCATATGGGGGAAGGTTGGTCATGCGAGACAGGATTGGCTATAAAGGTTGGCTACATTGCATTGTGTAGTAGCGGCACTGCAATCAAATGTGTTGTATTGTTTCTATTTCATTTCCTTCACAGGGGCATAGTCGTTGGGAGTTGCCTCTTAGCAGTTCTGAGGGGAATAGGTTTAATCTTGCCTTAGTAAAGAGCCTGCGATATTTAGTCACTTTAAGGCTTTTTAGGTATCCGCATGTCTTAAATTTAGAGAACAGCAACAACAACAATATGTCTTACTCGCCTCTCCCCATGGTTCGAGGCGGGTCACTGCACTGTAAACAAACACACACAAATACTATAAAAATGCTACAAGCACACATATTAAAACACAGTTCCATAAAAGATACAGGGCCACAAACATGTGACGGAGCCTGAGCCAGCTGTGTGATGCTGCGGCAGAGAAGGCCAACCTCGTCTTGTGTTGTGAATGTATTAATGCGCCTTTGGTCAGGATTTGGTAAGGAGCCTTAAAGTATAAAAGCATATGCAGGTGGCTAACTGCAAGGTCAAAAAGACACCGACTTAAAAGACTGAACCCACCTCTCCCCTTCCTTGCAGAGGTCCAGAAGCTGTCCAGCCTGGTCCTGCCCTCGGAGGTCATCATCGCCCAGAGCTCCATCCCCGGCGAAGGCCTGGGCATCTTCTCCAAGACCTGGATCAAGGCCGGCACCGAGATGGGACCCTTCACTGGGCGCATCATCGCCCCGGAGCACGTCGACCTCTGCAAGAACAACAATCTCATGTGGGAGGTGAGCAAGGCGTGCGACCCCCATTGTTCCCCCTTTGTACCTTCTTCCTCTCCTCAAGGCCCTTCTGTTGGACATTCCTTTGCCTGGTGGTCCATTAATGTGTGTCCCTTCCTCCATTATTATTATTATTATTATTATTATTATTATTATTATTATTATTATTATTATCCCAACAAGATGGGTACACAGCAAACAAGATCACTATTTATTTATTTTTATTTATTTGCAGCATTTATATTCCACCCTTCTTACCCCGCAGGGGACTCAGGGCAGATTACAGTGCACATAGACATGGCAAACATTCAATGCCAATTAGACACACAACATATATAGACAGGCACAGAGGCAATTTAGCATTCCAGCTTTTCTTGCTTAATGAGGGTATGCTCAGTTCCAGCCACAGGGGGAGCTGCCGCTTCACCGTCCACTTGGGACACCGAGTCCTTGATGGAGTACTTCCTCATTCTTCTGCAAGCTGCTGGAAGGTTTTTATGGTGTCGTAATTTAGTTAAATTAGCCTCCCCGCATAAAGCGGTATCTAAATTTCCTACTTGACAGATGCAACTGTCTTTCGGACTGCAAATGTCAACAGCAAGCTAGACTATTAATAGTCAGGAGCTCACTCCAACCCGGGCTGGCTTTGAACTCATCACCTCTCCGTCAGTAGTGATTAAATGCACTACACTGGTTGTTGTATTGGATCACACGTTGGACCCTTCCCAAGTGTCTAGGACTGTGTGATGTGTAGGCGAATAATGCCGGCAGATTCGAGTATGATTACTACTACTACTACTACTATTAATAAGGACTGGTGAGCGACAGGTCAGTGGTTCGGATCCAGGGAGAGTGGGTTGAGCTCCTCATGCAGGGACATGAGAGAAGCCTTCCTCCCACAAGAATGGTACAACATCAAAAACATCCAGGCAATGTCCCCTGGGCAATGTCCTTGCAGACGGTCAATTCACTCACACCAGAAGTGACTTGCAGTTTCTCAAGTCGCTCCTGACACACAAAATAAAGAGGGGAGGTATTTTATGGCACCATAAAAAGGACTTTCTGTATATATTTCAGATTTCAATATTAATGTCAAAAATGATTTTACATAGTATTTGTGCTTATTGTGATATGGCCTAAGGGCTAATCAATAAACATTACTACTAGTATTTGTGCTACATTCAAACAGTAAAGACAAATATCACTTAAGTAAAATAAACATTAAATATTAAATAACCAGAAAAATAAAATAAGGTGTAAACACTAAACTAATCTGGGAATCTGCTATTGAAACACATCCAACTATCAAAGAAAAGAGGAAGTCTGTGATCTATTATTATTATTATTATTATTATTATTATTATTATTATTATTATTGCACCGCCCTGTGCATTGTATACTGGTGCACATTGGTATTCCGTGTACATCAGAGAACTAGGATGCCCTTGGGATGGTGCCAGTGGGGTTAATGTGGGGTTTCATTGTCTTTGGGGATTCGTCCTTGCGC